TGGCAGCTATTGAATACATTACAGTATCACTTCACGGTTCAGCTGCAGGTAGGGTTGCCAGAACCCCACAGTGGAGGTGGGGTCCCCTGCTGCCAGGCCTTGCTCCCCAGCTGCCAACCACAAGAAAGAAGAAGGCCTAAGACACATTGCCAGCATCACACAGGAAGCTTATCATTGATTTCCAGGTGACACTCTGGAATCTGGGCAAAAACTCCATGGTAGAAGCCAGTTTTACCATAGAGTTTTTGCTCAAATACCAGACTGTCACCTGGAAGTCGCTGGTGTGATGATGTCACTTCCTGTGTGGCGCTGGCAATGTGGCCTGGGCCTTTCATTTTCTCCTGGTAAGTCCCCCCCCCCACCGGTTGCCAGGAAGGACCTGTTGACCCTAGCTGCAAGACTTAGTTACATGATAGGTTGCTCTTCTAGGAAAAAACATTCCTCCCATATAGAAATCTAGCATGCCAAAGAGAGAACTAGGCTGAGGGTTGCCAGCTACATGAGAGAGAGAGCAATTGCCAGTCAATGTGAATATAAGGCTTCTAGCCAGATAAAAATAGTGGACTGGCTGCTACTTCTAGAAATTAAAACTGGCTTGCTCCTAATGGAACTGGAAGAAAGAATTTCAGCTGCAATAATTGCAAGACAGTAAAAAAGAAGTTAAACTGCATTCAAAAGACGTTAAGCTCTATCAAGAGGTTTCCACCATCCAACCTTAGAAGATTACTCCTGAGGAAGACTAATGAAATGAGTATAACACTGGGTGCTCATAGAGAATATCATGATGTCGGACTTTTCCTTGAGAGCCAGTTTGGTGTAGTGGTTAAGTGCGCGGACTCTAATCTGGGACAACCGGGTTTGATTCCCCCACTCCTCCACTTGCAGCTGCTGGATGACCTTGGGCAAGCCATAGTTCTGATAAGAGCTGTCCTTGAAAAAGAGCAGTCTCTGTCAGAGCTCTCTCAGTCCCACCTGCCTCACAGGTTGTCTGTTGTGGGGAGGGGAAGGGAAAGGAGTTTGTAAGCCACTCTGAGACTCCTTTGGGTAGTGAAGGGCAGGGTATAGATCCAATCTCTTCTCTTCTTCTCTTCAATACGTCAGAATTTCCTAAGCAACACTGTCAAGTTTGAATATATATATATATATATATATATATATATATATATATATATATATATATATATATATATATATATATATATATATATATATACACACACACACACACACACACACACGAATTACTAAATGTTATATATATACACATGAATTACTAAAATGTTATATATATACTCATGAATTACTAAATGTTATTGTTTATCACTGTGTTTCTTTGTTTTTTGGTATGTACCTGTATAGAAATATTGATTCTATAGGCTTCATGTCTCCCCTAGAATGTGCCCCTGCTGTGTTGATTTCCTATTGAAACCAGATGGCTGACCATTTGGTCAATTGCCATGCCATAAACCACATACCTTCACACCTCATGCTGGAAGCTAGGCCAGCATGCTAGAAGCTGCGGGTACGCAATGGGAGTTGGGGCTTGGGGGATCACAACTGCAGGTGTGGCCTCCAAGACAACTGACCATTCAGAAGTTGTAGCCATGACAACCCTACCATTGGGCACACCCAGGTCTACTTCAATTGGC